TTTGTTTGAAATTTGATATAAGGAAAAAGAAGAGAGACAGATGAAATGGAAGAGGATGATCTTTTAAGAGGAACAATGAGAGAGAGAGAGAGAGTGGAAGTCACCCCAATTTTTGAGCAGTTTTGAATGAGAGCTGTATTTTAGATGTGATTTTAAGATGCAGATTATAAACTTTTGAAGTAGAAAACTTGCAGGGGCCTTTAGAGATTTGAGCTTTATCTTCTCTCTTTTATAGGGCCTCATATTTTTATCACTGAACCGTGCATACTCTTGTAAGCCGAAGCATGTTACGGTTGATGCATAATTGAGTATTGAGTACATCTTATAGAACGCTGTTGCCTCTAAAATTCATGGGTTGTTGTTCCACTTAGTCCTACTTTGGATTCTATTCCTGTTATAGCTCTGCAACTTGCAAGTTAATCTCAGATCTCAGAATGTTCTGAAATTGCAATTTGATGAGAGTATTATGATTTTATTTGCCCGACAACTACGCTTGACTATTTTTGTCTAATTTTTCCGGGTAGATGTTCATCACATGATTGACTGGTCTGAAAACTATTCCTCCACGAATTACATTTTCATTATACGACCTACTAGTAAACGCTTAAATAACTTCAATTAGGTTTTGTTTGTTGTTCACTGACTCTTTTTATATATCTTCTTTTTTCAAGCACATCGTTTTCATTGTTATTTCATAAATATGATTCATGGATATTTGAGCAAATGTTGCAGATTAGGGAATGAAGGGAATTCAGGGGAATCAACATCTGGGATTTTTGTGGGCGCAGTGTGCCAGAAGTGCTTCAAGTGAAGGCATATCTGTTCATGCCGGCTCCATTTTGTCTACCACCTCTAGGCCTTGGCAAGGCCCTTTTCTTTGTGCTGATTGTTGCAACAAGAAGGACGCTATGGAAGGCAAGCGTCCTAGTGGAATTAGAGTCTCGTAGCTTTTTCTTCACCTATTCATTCTCATTTCCCCCCGTTTTTCTTGTAGTCATGATTTTTATAGGTCAAATAATTGCTTAGATCCCACTATTAGGTAGTGACAGATGTATATGTAATATTCTCAAGTTATGATAAAAATGAGCGTCGCTTTTAACTCACAAATCAATCCGATTGTTCTACTATTCCACCAAACGTTGCGCTACTTCAGCCCACCCACAAGATCCATTCTTTGATTAATTCCCTCCAAAACCCAACACGCATACCCTATTACACTCAAATTAAGTACAGATATGCATACATAAGGATATAAAGGCTATTGATATACCTCTGCTACAAAATATTGAATAACACAACAATTACAGAGGACACTGCTAAAAATGAGAACATGGATCTACGATTTCGAAACAACAGTTAATAAGTTAAACACAGTGCTTAAATATATACCATGTATACACACAAGCTCGTCAAAAATTTTTCCCTCCTTTCCTCTCTACTATTTCCCTCATATCAAACGCACTGAGCATAATTATTTCTTCACTCAAAATCAAAACCTGACCCAAAGTTCTCTCTTCCATCCTTCTCCGGTATTTTCTTATTCATCCACTCACAACTTTTGAACTGCTTTCTCATACCTTCCATCATTACTACTTTCTTTTGCTCCTCTACTTTTTGTCTTATCTGATTTTTGATCTGGAAGTTGACCTTTATACTAGTATATTTTTAGGAGAAACCTCTACAATGAGCCAATGACTATTATGTTTCAGATACCAGTTGAAAACTGGTTAGAGATTCCCGTCGTATACAATGCATGGCCTTCTGTTATCTACTTAACTATGGATCACAGGTTTGAAAGTACACTTATTTGAAAGATATACTCTTAAAAGCCTAAATCATTATTAAACTTAAAATAACATTCTAGGTCCCCTATTCTCCATCAGGCACACAAGAAAGGACTGATTATTAGTGTCCTTTCTATTGAGAATGCAAGTAGTTTGAGCTTCAAGTCTTGAAATGAACTGAAATTGCAATTATTTAAGAGTGTCAAAAAATGTAATGAATTGAGGATTTCAAAACCTGACCAACTATAGTGTACTTATTCAACATGTGTTTTCATCAAATACCATAATTTTTTGTGGTTTTCAATGCGGAACCAAATACAATTAGTTAAACTTTGATTCTTGAAGTACAAAAAATAAAAGTTGGCAGTGCTTGTTCTTGGGTTGTAAAATCTACAAGATCAAGACAATACAGCTCACATCTGATTTGATCGTGTCTATTAAGAGAACCTCCCTAGTGTATTTTAACTTGAGATTATAAGATGCAACTCAAAATACCTATTAACATGAACGAGGAAGAAACTTGGAGAACTAAGGACCTATCGGAAGATTTTACAAGCAAAAAGTGAGATTTTGGTAGACAGATAGGTAAAAAGCAAAGCATGCCGGCAATGATTAATTATAATTTTCTAACATCGTCTGTTTTTGTTGCACAAAAAGAGACAATTTTGCGAGGTTACATATTTATAGTCTCATGAATCCATATTTGGTAAGCATTGCGTCCATTTATTACGCTATTTTCGCGGCATGCAGCATAACTAGTTCAAACAAAATTTAATTTCCTTATTCACCCCAAAAAAAAGAATTTAATTTCCTTGTCAACGATTTTGTTATCCGTAATTTTCTTAAGTTTAGTCCCCTCCTAACACGTTTAACCGGTCTTCGTCTTTAATTTCCAAGTCAACACTCATTGCAATAGAGCCCTCCATTAATTTTAGTCTCCACTTATGTTCTGGTGGTGACTAATGTGCAATCACGGCATGGAGAGCCACGACCGGGTCAGAACAACGTATTTTTTTGAAGTCTGGTCCTTCACTAAGCGCACAAACACAGAAAACCTTCCACCGTTTACACACTGAAGTCTGAAGGAAAAAAGAAGTATCATCCTAGAGCGGAATGTCACCCCATGTTTACACGTTATTCAATCTGAACTGAACCTTCCGCTCTTGTTTTGCCTGCCGCCTATTTTCTTTTAGGTCTCTTTCATAAAGTCTTGCGTGGTAATTTACCAAGTCAGCCTGCACCATCAAACGGTTCAAATGGGAACTGTGGACTATATACCGTTATTAAATGAAGCTCTTGTTGGAGACCTTCATTGTTTTGCTCGAAAGTTACTGAATTATGGCTGTGGTTCTTGAGTTTTGTTTCCTCTTGATTTCTCAACTTTTACTTCTTTCAGTTGGGTATGGAAATGCAAGTCCTGTTAAGTGTCCTGGATCTTTTAATTGTAGAGGACTTGGAATCCTCCAGTTCCCTTTCACCAATCCAGAATTCCCGGACTGTGGCTTAATGGTTGTTCATAACTGTGATGCTTCAAATAAACCGGCTGAACTAGAGAAGAATGGATCAAGATCATTCTTGCAGCTTAACGGTGTCTTTCTGCGGCAAAATATGATTACAGTTTTTGACCAAGATCTACACAATCGTTTGCAATCCAATGGTTCTTGTGAAGCCTTCAACAACAATATCTCATTTCCTGCAAGCTCTCCTTTGATTTCTTTTGATATTAAATACAACATAACCCTGTTTAAATGCAATCACAAATTCAATGTTAGCACCCCCACTGGTTTTATTAAACATCGCTGTGCAAACTTCGATATCTATCATTACCCCCAAGTCTCTGATCTTCAACCTCACCAAAAAAGCCGTTTCTCATCATGTTCAAATTTTGTGCTTCCAAAAAAAGACCTGCCTGATAGCACTGACCTTCAATCGTTCTTATCTGCTCAAATGACTCTGGAGCTACGAATATCTGATGCTTGTAATCAGAGCCACAACAGCGGAGGCCGGTGTCAACTTGACAGGAACAATAACTTCTACCGCGCCAGAGGAGGTATATTCTTTCGAAGTGGTGATTTTTTTTTTTAAAAAAAAACGTAGACAATTATGCAACGAGCTAAATTATGTCTTGAGTTTGATGTTAGTCACTTTTTTTTTTTCCCCTTCTTCCGAGCTCAAGTGATTCTCTTGTTTTCTACGACAAAACTTGACTTCGCAATCTTCAAAAACAATAATTACGGACGAAATTTAATACCGGATTTTGCAAATTCTGTCACAAAAGTTTAAAAAAAAAAACCGTCACTAGCTGATTAGTTGTGGAATTTGGTCGCTAAACCGATTTATGACCGAAATTTTATGACTAATTTATTACTCTTTTTTTTTGTCGTTCATTTATTTGATATCCTCGGCTTCATATGTTCAAAAATAGAGTTTTTATTTTCTTTTATTCGTTTTCGTCAAATTCAATTTTATATCAAATATGTTTGCAATTTTTTATGAGTCTCTTATCATTGTGACTTCATTTTCAAAGATAAAAGATGACACCATGTTTCTGGCAGAATAAAGATGTGATTTTTTTTTTTGTGTGATTATACAAATATATCCAACATAATTTCTCTATTTTTCTGACATAAAAATAGAATTATTTTCTGAAGGCCAACTAATTATTTTTATGTTGACTTCTGCTTAATTCTTGCTTTGATTGCAGAGCGTAAGGGAAAAATTTTCAAGGTGGTACTTGGACTAGGTAATTTACACAATCATTTTGTTCATTTCACGTTTATAACTTTTAAATTTTAAACTTACATCCATCCGTTTTGAGTTTCATCTTCTTTTTTATCTATTTAATTTCCATCAATTTATCACTTTTAGAAAATAATTCACAACAAAGATTTTTCTCTCTTTTTGATCAGGTCATAAAACAAGTAGTCTATCTAATCAGTTTACCACTTACAAACATAGCGGAAAGAGTCTTTATGGAAACAATAGGATAGCTAATCAGTATTTTTGTTACTTATTCATGTCATAAAATTTTGCATAATCTTACCTCTTCTAATCTTATTAATCACAGTTTCTGCTGCTATAATAGTGGGAGTTTTTGTTCTTATAATCTACTTGTTTAGAAGGATATTATTCCTGAAAAACAAATCTAAAACTCATCAAGATTTTGAGGCCTTTCTAAAGAGTCATGGATCTCTGGCAACAAAAAGATATAGCTACTCGGAGATAAAGAAAATGACCAGTTGTTTCAAAGAAAAATTAGGGCAAGGAGGCTATGGAAGTGTTTTCAAAGGGAAGTTAATGGACAAATCTCTAGTTGCTGTGAAGCTTTTGAACGAAACAAAAGGTAATGGAGAGGAATTCATCAATGAGGTAGCAAGTATAAGCAAGACTTCTCATGTTAACATCGTCGCTCTTTTAGGATTTTGTTTAGAAGGGTCCAAGAAGGCACTTATTTATGAGTTTATGGCTAATAGGTCATTAGAGAAGTTCATCTTTGAAAATGAAGCAAACCTCCTTAATGGTAATCTCCAACTGAGCTGTGAAATATTGCACCAAATTGCAATAGGTGTTGCACGAGGACTAGAGTATTTGCATAGAGGGTGTAACACTCGGATATTGCATTTTGACATAAAACCTCACAATATTTTGTTGGATGAGAACTTTAGCCCAAAGATCTCAGACTTCGGACTAGCTAAAATATGCCTAAGAAATGAGAGTGTTGTATCCATGACAGGTGCTAGAGGAACCATAGGATATATTGCTCCCGAGGTAGTTTCTAGGAATTTTGGAGTTGTCTCTCAAAAGTCAGATGTTTATAGCTTTGGGATGATGATTTTTGAAATGGTTGGGGGAAGAAGGAATGTCAATGTGAATGTTGATAATAGTAGTGAAATATATTTTCCTCACTGGATTTACAAGCGTCTAGAATTGAATGAAGACCTTGCGCTGAGGAGCATTAGAATTGAAGGTGACAAAGAGAGGATAAGACAGATGGTGATAACTAGCTTATGGTGCATACAAACTAACCCTTCAAACCGTCCAATGATGAGTAAAGTGGTAGAGATGCTTGAAGGCAGAGTTGAGACCTTGCAAGTTCCACCAAAACCTTACTTATCATCTCCTTCAACATCACCGCGTTCTTCTTCTTCCTCAACTCACTGACTAAAAACTATGGGGCATTTTCATTAAGTCATGATTACTCAAAGGCCCATATGTTTTAGATTCTATGCGCGCTTGTTATTTCCTTACAAGACTTTGCTAATGCATTGAATTTTTGCCATGTATAGACAACAAGAACATTGTAATACTTGTGGACTTGTATTGTGGCCTTTTCTGTCTATATTGTTAATTTATGTCATTCCTTGGTAATGTCTCTGTGAATGGTTAGTTTCTGATGAGATCTCTACCATTGGGCTTTGCCATTTGATGCTTGATACTCTGTCTAGGCCTCAAATGCTTCTATTTCTGTGCATGCTTCTTATTTTCTGGAGTTATGATTTGCAAATAAGATCTCTGCTTACCTGTAGATGCTGTCATGTATTGATATCAGGAACGTGGTAATGCTTTTAGAATTGTATTTTGTTAACTTCTCTCTTTACTATGAAAATTCTATCAATGTTGCCTATTAAGAAAAAGAAACAAACAAATGGAGATGTCTAAAGTGTGGCAATGTAAATATTCTACAATTCTCCGAAACTTTCAATTTGAAAATGTTCTGCTATGGCAACATATTTCCCCAATCTTTGATGTCTATTTCCATGTCCATACAATTGACTATATAGAAGTAGTGAAATACCCAAGATGGATAACTTTCAGATTTTGACTAAATTTTTGCTACAAACTGAAAAATTGACTACTTAGAAATAGTGAATATACCAAGTTGAATTGTAATATGAAGACGTCCAGTTGGAAAATAAGAGTAACCTAGTTGGAAAATTTTAATTAAGTTCCACGCTTATACTAGTTTTTTGGCTATGTCAAGGGTTGGTTGGAATACATAAAGATTCAGTTGAAAAATAAAGGTAATCTAGTTGGAAAAGTTTGCGCTCTAGCTAGACTTGGACTGAATTTTAACAATAAACTAAAATTATGACTATTTTCTACTTTGCAAGTATTGTTAGTGTAGCTTTTTAGTTCCAATGGCTGTATGCTTTAATTGTAGTTTTACATTCCAACTGTGGGCCACGCGTAAGTTGCTGAATATATAAAAATAAATAAAAAAAATTCAAAGGAGGCTTGGGAATACAAAGGGATTCAGTTGGAAAATAACTCCATTGAAAAATATTAAGCTCTAAAGACTAAATGTTTGCTATAAAATGATATAATGGCTGTTGAAAATATCATATGTGAGTTGAGAATAGTGGATTTTCAGTTGGAAATTAAACATAACCCGCTTTAAAATTTCAAGTATTAAAACTCAAGTGTAAAAACGTGAATGAAATTAGTAAATATAAATCAAAGCATTTCTAATCGAGTTATTAAGAGTTTTAAGTAGTTTACTGGGTTTTTTTCCTGCTTATTTTCCTATTTTATGATTTTTCAACTTATCCTCCATCATTTCAAACTATTTTTTGTAATATTTCCAACTAACGCTTCAACTTTTACTACTAATATAGACAACCAGATCTGGCATTTGATATATATAAGAGCCAGTTGATTAATTTGAGAAGATTAAGGAAGTAAGTTGAGTTAGTTATTTGTCCTAAATAGGTGTTGTCTTTCCTAAAATCTTCTTGCTAATCAAGTGCACTAACTAGAACTACAATTATTAGAAGGACTATCTTGAAAAAAATTGAGTAAGTATGAGAGATAAAGTGGATTGGGGTCTTATATTTAGAACCAAAATAAAAGTCAAATAGGGTCTTATATTAAGAATCGGAGATAGTACAATGAAGACAACTTTTACATATGGTATGTAAAATGGATTTTTTTTTCTAGGCCCAAGTATCATCCTATTAGAGGTGATTATGTTCAAAGTATTATTAGGCACTAAATATGAGCAGTTCTCCTAACAAAAATTTAAACCTTAATTTAGCACATTGTGATATATTAACTGCTTTTGCTATACACGTACTCAATCCTGTTAGTTGGTTGTACAGTGAATTTCAAAGGTTATTGTTATTACATCTCATATGTGGGGAACATTTGTAACATGGGCCGAGTAATATCGGGGTTTGAGGTAATTCACAAATAAGAAGAAATTCCCGGTTGAAGCTGTGACAGATAGAAGTTTCACTCTCTTTGCTGTTCATTGGAATGTTGAACAAGTCACAAGACTCCAAAACAAAGACGGTGGCTTAACAAATGCGTGCGAGAAGCTTTTAAAGGGGAATTGGAAAACTTCGTGTGACTTAACAAAGACGTTGACTTAAATGCGCGTGTGATGCTATCAAATACTCCTCCAGTCTTTAATATAAGACCCATTTAACTAATTTGATTAGATTAAGAAAGTTAGGTAAGTTAGTTAATTATAAAAAATGTGATATGTTTTTCCTAAAACACCATAACCATCTTTCTTAATACTCCATCTCCCTCTTCTACTTGATTAGGTTGAGGAAGTGTCCATAGGAGTAATTTAGAGAAAATTGATAAATATGAGAAATTGGTCTTATATTTAGGATCAAAACCAACTCAACAATTGGGTCCTATATTAAGGACAGGAGGAGTATTAAAATTAAGTGAAAAGAAATTAAAATAAACAAAACAAAGTTTCATCAAATTAATTTAAGCAGATGTTAAAAGACCAACTTAGAATCACCAATCCCTTACTAGCTTTTTAAACTTTTTTTCACTAAATTGATTAGCTTTCATATTAAATTTGATCTAGAGTATAACTAGCTATAAGTGCCTATCGGTCCACTTATAAGTGTCTTTTAAATTAATTATGTAATCTCTTACACAATTACCTAAGAGGCTAAACAATTTGATCTCACTCATTAACAATTATACGGGACAATTAGGTATATTTTTATCCTAATCACAAATTAAATTAACATCTAATCCCATATTACTTAATCTAAGAGCTTAATTAAAATTCCATTTGTCAAAAAAAATTTTAATTTTCAAATTCACAGTTAATGGTGATCAGTCATTAAATGGACAATAAAAAACAAAATTAAGTAACCACAATTTAAGACTAAACATCCTTAATTCAGTAAAAACAAAGCTTAATCCACTAATAACTTCATAGTTTCTCTTGACTGTAAAAAGAAAATTAGCTACACATGATTTTAAATATAATCATGTCAGGAACAATAATTCCAGATTCAAAATCATGGTAGAAATAGAAAGAAATATTGGAAACAAAACACTGTTTAAAGCTCCTATCGCAGCTCGTGCTTCTCTGATCAAAACCAGTCGACTCCTAACTCTAACGAAGAAGAAGATCACGGTCGATGAACCAGATTCGGCCTCTCCCAATGTCTGCCTCCTCCCTCTCTCGCTCACTGAACCAGTCGAACCCAAAGAACAAGAGAAGATGACGTCCAGTCTCCTTACGATGAACAGTGTCGGCCTTCTCCTCCTGCAGAAACCGTCGGCCACCGCCAGAGGTAGAATATCCAGTCGCGCCTCCCCCTCTATGAATCCCCCTCTTTCTCTCAACCCTTCGCTGCTACCTTTCCCCAAAAACGCCGCGTCCTAGAAACGCTGTCGTTCCGTTTTAAATTCCCAAAGTCAAATTTTAATTTTCCTTTCTCCAAACGGTGCTCCTGTGCCTCTTCCAAATTCAAAAACTTCATTCTCCTCACCTAAAGAAAATGACGTCACCTATGCTAAAGGTCAAAGAAAAGGAATTCATAAAAATAAATGGAAGAAACAAAACAAAATACTAATAACTTAAATATTTTTCTTTTGTTTCAGAACCACTTTTTATTACTTATTTATATCTTAAACTAAACGATTTCTATTTTGATTTAAAGCTATGATACTCACACTAAATCCCCCAATTAATGCCCCAAATTGATTTCTCAAATTAACTCTTAGAAATCACTGAAAAGTAATTGATAACTCTTCAAAATATACTCAAAATATTCTTCAAAAATATTCCAAATGAAGATTTAACAAATGCGCGTGACTTGACAAATTAGTATATATAAACAAAGCTTTTAAATCGCCAGCCATTTACCTAGTCAACTGTGTATGAAGAAGTTCGAGTAGGAGATATATAATGGGAGGACAGTTCAATCATAATTAGAGTTTTCTTGCTGGGTATGGAAATGTAGGAAGCATGACAAGTGTGGACAATCCGGGAGTCTCCACTTCCCTTTGCTTTGCAACACTGGATTTATCACTATACATACATATATATATATGGTTGTGATGATCCTTTTTCATTTAAAACGATTATACTGCAGAAGAATGGAAAATCATCATTACTGCGTACAAATGTCGTTCATCAGCAGGAGAATCTTTACCTGATTGCTCAATTCTTCAGCTTCCTTGTAAGAACCTGACATATACCACAGATTTTCATCACCATTCTTATGCTGTGAAATGGATACTGAAGTGCAATTATCTGATGATTGTGACGAGTGTCACTACCAGAAGGGAGGCCACTGTCCAGCTGACAACAACACACTAACTTCTATGGAAATAATCGGATAGCTAATCAGTATCTATGCCACTCATTAATGCCCAGGGTTTTGCGTAATCCCATCTCTTCTAATCTTATTAACATCTTACGCAGGTATAATATATACAGTAGGAGTTTTTGTTCTTATAATACTAAAATGTCCCATTGCTCTGAAGATTTTGAGCAAATTAAACAAGAGGTAAGGAAGAGGAATTCTGCATGGTTAAATATTTATTTTTTCATGCGTCCATATTTAATTTGATAATCATTCCATGCAATTATGACGCTATTTTTGCAGCACGCAGCATATGTATTTCAAACATGACCAAGAAAACAATCCAGTTGAAACAAAATTTAATTTCCTTGTCAAAAATTTTGTTACCCGTAGTTTTCAAAAGTTTGAGCCCCTCCTAACACGTTTGACCAGTCTTCGCTTTTCATTTTAAAGTCAACATTCACTGCAATGAAGTCCTCCACTATTCTTAGTCCCCGCTTAATCTTCTGGTGGTAACTAACGGTCCTTCACTAAGCACAGAAACACAGATAAATCTTCCACCAAGCTAAGTAGCCATTGAAGTTCGAAGGAAAA